ATCCCAGCACTCGGGAGGCAGAGGCAGGCGGATCTCTGTGAGTTCAAGACCAGCCTGGTCTACAAAGTGAGTTCCAGGACAGCCTCCAAAGCCACAGAGAAACCCTGTCTCGAAAAACCAAAAAAAAAAAAAGAAATGTAACTGTAGAATAAGACGTCTAAAGAGGACCTAGAGATACCTAGTGGGTGGAACATGGTTACAATACCAGCCCTTGGGAGATTGGGGAATGCCAACTGCCATGAGTTTGAGGCCAGTCTGAGCTATGTAGTGAGATCTTAAAAACAAAATTCGTGGTAGCCATTCGTGGTAGCCCATGCCTGTAATCCTAGCACTTGAGAAGATGAGGCAGAAATGTCAAAGTCAGTGCTAACCTGGGCTTCATGCATGAGTTACAGGAGTGAGACCTAGTCTTAAAAACGAAGAGCAAACAAAATGGGATGCAGAAAGGCAAGTTTCCACAAAACCTTTTTTTCTCTAACCATACATTCGAATTTGAACTGAGTGACACCTGTAATTGACAGGCTTATTTCTCTGACTTCTTCTCTTCCCTTTAGTTCTTTTATGCAGTGGTGAGGCTTGAACCCAGGTTTCATTCACTGAGTTATACCCTAACCACTCTGTGACTTGCTAGGTAGCAGAGGCTGGCTTTGAACTCCTAACCTTTTGGATTCCACCTGGCAAATGCTGGGATTCTAGGTTTGTGATACCAGACCTAGTTTATGCAGTACTCGAGAGAGAGCCAGGAGCTTCAGGAATCCTAGGAAAGCAGGCTGCTAACAGGCATAAACACAGCCCTCTCTGGGATTTTTCTCAGTGTGCAGAAACCAGAGCAGGAAGCTGTGTTCAATAAAAATGTTTGAGTAAAATAAAAAATATATCTACAAATTAAAACAGATCAAAAAATATTCTGGAGAGATAGCTCAGTTGGTGAGAGTTCAAGGCTAGCCTGGTCTACAGATTGAGTTCCAGGACAGCCTTCAAGGTTTCTAAACAGAGAAACCCTGTCTCAAGAAAAACAGCAACAACAAAACCAAAACAAACAAACAAAGTATGCCTTAAACAAAAACCCATATACATATGAAAAGTTTTTCCAGGGGCTGGAGAGATGGCTCAGAGGTTAAGAGCACTGACTGCTCTTCCAGAGGTCTTGAGTTCAATTCCCAGCAACCACATGGAGGCTGACAACCATCTACAATTCAATCTGTTGTATATGTAATAAATAAATAACTCTTTAAAAAAAAAAGAACAACAAAAACCATGAACCATGTTCATCTTCAGTTTTATTCAGTTCATATTCAGTTTTATTAAAGATCTTTATAATTATTTAATTATATATAATTATAATTATTTAAAGATCTTTATAATGGTTTACAAGTTTCAATGACTATTTAATAAAGCTGACATCCATAACAAGAACAGAGAAACAAAATCATAATACTGACATATGAGAATTCAAATCTATACTTTTCCATCTTTTCTAGTTGATTTTTCACAAAATCATTCTGAACCTTTACATAAATCATACTATTTTGCATAGAGTTAGAAACATGGTAAATGTAATATACAAAGTATATGTCCAGACACACTACAGGACATCTTAAGTTTCCTTGAAACCTTGCTTATTTTCACAGTGTGATCCCCGCACCACAGGCAGGGAAGTAACAGCCCTTCTCCTGGGCATATCATAAGACGATGTACAAGATACTATAACATTTTGCCTTAAATGACTTGAGACACCCTACTTAATAACTCCTAAAGTCTGATTTCATTTTAGAAAGTTTTTAAAGATATGGCTCATTTAGCAAACAGTCCAATTGGCAAATGGACAAAGATGGTGAACAGAGATGTAAAAGATGGTGGGGAAAAAAAGCCAGGTATTGGTGGCGCATGCCTTTAATCCCAGCACTTGGGAGGCAGAGGCAGGCGGATCTCTGTGAGTTCGAGGCCAGCCTGGTCTACAGAACAATACAGAGAAACCCTGTCTTGAACAAAAAAGAAAAAAGAAAAAGAAAAAGAAAAAAAGATGGTGGTGAGCAGATGGCAAAAGGCACATGAAATAATTAATTTTCAGCATCACCAAATGCTGGGGAGAGAACATGGAGAAACCTGATCTACACACTTAGAGTAGAAACACTAAATGGGACAGCGCCCTGTGAAAAGACTCTTTATTCTTTTCTTTCCATTTTGCAGTACTGGGGATCAAACCTAGGGTCCTGTGCATGTTAGACAAGCGCTCTCTCTACCACACTGAGCTACTTCCCAACCTAAGAACCACTAAAGCTGTAGTTCCTATATCAGTTTTTCCTAAGCACTCCCAATAGCTATCTAGATATGAAAAAGGAAGAAAGAGACAGAAAGTCTTAGAGACCAGAATAACAAGTTCAGAATGATCAGATTCTGAAGGCTCCTTCAGGTCTTTGACTCCCCATAACAGTCCAGGATGTACCTGAAACTTCTTATTCTTATTTAAAAAGCACAGTCTAAACTTCCTAAAGGAGTTAAGTATTGTTCAAGTGGATTCAAATCTTCCTCAGACTATTTCTGGGTGACTCTAGACTCAAAGTTGAAGGACTTTGAGGCATAGCAATTATCTCTCCTCAAAGAATTGTAAAAGGTGCCAGTTGGTGGTGGTGCATGCCTGTAATCCCAGCACTTGGGGGGCAGAGGCAGGCAGATCTCTGTGAGTTCAAGACCAGCCTGGTCTACAGATTGAGTTCCAGGACAGGTTCCAAAGCTACACAGAGAAATCCTGTCTCGAAAAACCAAATAAACAAAGAAAAAAAGAATTGTAAAAGTCACTGTGTGGCCAGGTGTCGCATGACTCTAATCCCAGCACTTGGGAGGCAGAGTCAGGTGGATCTCTGTGAGTTCGAGACCAGCCTGGTCTACAAGAGCTAGTTCCAGGACAGCCTCCATAGCCACAGAGAAGCCCTGTCTCAAAAACAAAACAAAACAAAATAAAAAAGTCACTGTGTGTGTGTGTGTGTGTGTGTGTGTGTGAGAGAGAGAGAGAGAGAGAGAGAGAGAGAGAGAGAGAGAGAGAGAGAGAAGAGAGAGAAGAGAGAAGCCTGAAGCCTTTAGTCCCAGAACTTGGGAGGCAGAGGCAGGTGGATCTCTGTGAGTTTGAGGCCAGCCTAGTCTATAGAGTTTTAAGACAGTTAAGGCTGCACAGAGAAACTCCAGTCTCGAAAAAATAAAGAATTGTAAAAATCTTGCCACTCTTGGGCTGTTCTATTTTATGTTAAAAACCAGTCACCAGAGCCAGGCACAGTGGGTCTGGGGAACCTTTAATCCCAGCAGTTGGGAGACAGAGGCAGAGGTAGGCAGATCTCTTGTGAGTTCAAGGCCAGTGTGGTCTACAAAGTGAGTTCCAGGACAGCCAGAGCTACATAGTGAGACCCTATCTCTAAAATTAACCAAACCAAACCACAACAAAAAAACAAAATAAAAACAAAACAACAAACCAGTCCCCAGTATAGATGTTTTGCTTAAGGGCTACTTCTGGGGTTCCTTCCTTCCAATAGCACCAGAATGTTGGGTACTCTTAAAATACAATGTCACTTATCTGCAGTCAAATATATAAAACCTGTGAATGAAAGTTTTTAACTATACCTTAAAAAGTTAAAAGTAGCTAGGCATGTTTAGCATGCACCAGGCTCCAGGGGCAATTCCCAGACCAGCAACAAAAAAGCTGTTATATCCAATTGTATCAATGGATGTATATATCTACAAAAATAAATTTGAAAATACATAGACATAAGATTTTTTTACAATAAACATCATGAAGTTAGTTGTAAATATATTCCTTTCAAAAAAGTTTAAGATATTATCAATAGATGTAACATCAAAAATTGTGAAGCAAAAATTCCCCCATGAACAATGAAGGCACAGTGTTGAGTTGGGGAGGGGCAGGGTGTAAAGGAGAGCAAACATGGCTTCCAGAAACATCAAATCTAATGAGGGATTGGGACAGTGATCCTTCCTTGTTCAGAGAAGTGAAGCAAAGCCAGGCTTGGTGACTCATGCGTGTCATCCTAGCACCCAGGACGCTGAGGCAGGAATTCCCATGAGTTCAGGCTAACCTGGGCCACAGAGTAAGACCCTGTCTCAGAAAAATGGGGGTGAGGACAGGCCAAATCACAGATGATCTACAGAACAGACTGGTCATACCATGGGGCCAAATGTTCACTAGTTGTGACCACATGGGAGCAGGATTGAAGTACATAAGTACTAGAAGAGAAGATAGGCTGGGTGTAGTTCAGTAGTAGAAGAGTTGGCTATCAGGCTCAAGGTCCCAAGTTTGATCCAGCAACAGAGGGGAGGGGGCGCAAACAACCAAGACAACTTTTTCTTCATTACTTGGCAAAGTATTTTAGGATACTCCCTATTTTTCCATTGTTGTTAAAAAATTCATGTCCTAAGGGAAAACAAGGCAGAGAACATTGGAAATGCTACTATATTCACCAAACCTTCATTTTTCTTCTAATAGCCTGTGCCAGTGGTTCTCAAATGACAATGATTTTTGCCTCCCAGGGGGACCGATTTTGGCAAGCATTTGGAGCCATGTTGAACAGTGGAGGCCAGGGATACTGCTAAGTATATGTGCCCAGTATAGCATCTCAAAGCAAAGACAGACACAGTTAAAAATGTCAGTGTTGCAAGGTGTGGTGGCACACACCTTTAACCCCAGAACTCAGGAGGCATAAACAGGCAGAGCTCTGTGAGTATGGAGACAGCCTGGTCTATATGGTGGGTTCCAGGATAGCTAGGGTTATATGGTGAGACCCTGTCACAAAAACAAAACAAAGATCCATGCTACCGTTGAGAAACCGTATCACAGATGGATACAAGGGAATTGAAGATCAGTAAGACAGAGCATAAAGCAGTTAGTACCACTTTAAGATGGGTCGCACAGGAACACTATCCTTATTGAGCTGGCTAGAGACTACTTAAAATGCCTGGTTGGTCTACAATAGGAAAAGAAAATATGCTAAGAAATATTAGGATATTAAATTTATTTTCAAAAGGTAGATGAAGAGAATGCTCTCCAATTGTTTTTGATTAACAACTGTCTCTACAGCCACAAATGACATAGTATTCCTGACTTTACTTATATCTTACAAGAATCACTAAAATATGGCCAGAAAGCCAAAGAGCCAAAGATTAGCTTCTAGATCCACTGAAGATAAAAACAAAAAAGCCCTGCCAGGCATTGGTGGTGCATGCCTTTAATCCCAGTACTCGGGAGGCAGAGGCAGGCGGATCTCTGTGAGTTCGAGGCCAGCCTGGTCTACGAGAGCTAGTTCCAGGTCAGCCTCCAAAGTCACAGAGAAACCCTGTCTCGAAAAACAAAACAAAAGCCACTGATCTTTCAAGAGCAGCTCAATTTGGGTGAGATATTAGTTGTTTTTCACATTATCTAAAGGGTATTTATCCTTCACTCTGTAGTTGTATGCTAAGAAGAGCATAGGGAAGAAATGGGAAACAAACCTTTAGTAACTAACATCACAACTTAGTCTATCCTAATACAAATGAAAAGAATTACTACCTATGAAATCATAACTATCAACAAAACCTATACAAATATTTAAATAAAGCAACTTTCACATGATTGATGGGAAAACCTATGATTGGTTACAAAGCTATGTAAAAAACATTGTAGGAAAGGAAGAATAAGATATCTACATATAATCTGATTTCTTACAGTAAACAAAAATACCTCTAACAAAAAATATTTCCAAATCTTTTTTAGAATTTTTATTATTATTATGGAGAATGTGTGCACAGCACCTTGCACATGTGGAGGTCATAAGATAACTGGAGTCAGTTTTCTCCCTCCACCTTTACATGGGTTCCTTCAGGAGACCGAAGTCAGGTTGGCAAGCTTGTATGACAAGTGCCTTTACCTGCTCAACCATCTTGTTGTGTATCCAAAGGTTAATGGAGTTAATGATGCTATAGTTTGCTACAATGTTTCTATTAAGAAACTAGATATTTTCTGAATAATTTCAGACACTGGGAGCAAAGGAAACAATTTGTACAAAGTGCAATGTAACTATTCATTCAGCATAACTGACTCCCAAATGGACCTATGATAGCAGCAACAGCATTACCACTAACAGTTGCTCCTTTAGTGATAATTATGTAGTAGATAGTTCTATAATGGTAGTACTTTTAAATGTTTTGACTGTGATGGGAACAAGTTCATTCACTCTTGAAAATCCAAATCCCCAAATGGAGAGACAAGTGATGTAGAAGAGGCTGGAGCACCATCAACTGTCCCATAGCAATTTTATACCCAGCTGAGGCTTCTCTCAATGCACTCATTGACACTGTTTCCAGCAACAAAGCTTCATTATGTGAGATTAGCTCAAAGGTATACAGCCTTAAAGCAAACATCAAGCACACACACATGGTCCATCACCTATTCAGCCAGCCATGCTATCTCTCAGAGGTGAGCAGCACAGACAAACACCAAAAGACACACTGACAAGTAACCCATGAAACCAATTTTTAAGCTACCAATAAACTAGGGCACTTAAAGTGAACTCTGATGCCAGGTATGGCACACTCCTATAGTCCTGGAGACTGAGTCAAGAGGATCAGGAGTTTAGGCCAGCCTGAGCTACATAATGAGACTCAGTCGCAAAACAAAACAAAAAAACAAATGAACAAAAACTAGTAATAACTTAAACTCTGTCAAGTAGGCACTTTTTAAAAAGGGACATTTATGCAAGCATTTCAAAAAATAAAGAAATCTAAAGAACTAGAAAGATTTACATTAACTACTTGCACTTTATAAAAATAGACTTACATAGAACTCTGTAAGAATTAGAAACCAGCATGAGTTGGATGACAGATCTTTTCTCAAAGAAACAAAATGAAAGGTTCTGTTTTGTTTTTAAATTCAGGGCCTCATTAAGTCACCCAGATGGCCTAGAACTCCCCGCACTGCCCAATAGACTTCAAGTTCATGCTCTGCTCCCCTCAGCCTCTAAAGTCCTGGAATCACAAACATTTGCCACAATGCCCAGCCTTCAGTCCACTAACTGAAACTGGTTCCTCGATGTATGTGTGCTCAGCTTGGCATGATGAGGCATCTGGAGACTGAGGCAGGAGAATCTAAAGCTCCAAGCTAGCCTGGGCTATACAGTAACACCACACCTCAACAACAATAACAAAGGTTATGCAAGGAAGAGCTAAGGGCTCTTCACGAACAACAAAGGAAAGTGCTCACCTCAGAGTGGCACAAAAAGATTTGGATATGACACTTAAAAATATGACTTTATACAAAAAAGCGTTTTGCCTTCTCAATTAGTCCTCCTTTTTAGCTATGTGGATTTCAAATAGACCACTTGATTTTAAGTTTGAGAACATTTTTTCATAATTTTTAACAAAATGTGATGGTGCTTGACCCTGAAGGGTGAATAACGATGACCTATGTGTGACTGACCTGGTATTAAAAAGGGGACACAAAATTATCAAAACGTACTTGGGAGTGGAAAATATCCTTTGGAAGTTGCTAGAAGAAAGAAGACACAATTTTGAGGTATCACTGCCTTAAAATTTCACTAAGATTTGGACTTAAAAAGTAAGAATTTTTTTTCTGGTGAGTTTTTTAAAAGAGCAACACTTTTTCTCTCCGCTAGTGAGGCTCGGTTTGAATCGGCTCCTCTTGGCCACAGTCGGTCATGTCGGGAATCCCTGAGCTTCTCTCATCTGTGAATCCCGCCAGCGTGGGGTTTCTGTCGGCTGCTCAGTGCTATGTCTTGTTATACCAGTTCATGGAGCGTTTCACGGCTTTCACCCAGTTTTCCATGTTCATTTCATATTCCTGCCACTTCTTCTGGGGCTTGAAAACCATTTCACTTCGCCTGAGCTTCTGTAGCTCTTCCTTGTTAGCCCAGAATCCTACAGGTGAAAGGAAATCTCAGAATCTAAGACAAATAATGAGTTCATGAAATAACTCAATTCATGCGAGTTGTGAACAAGAAGAACAATAAGTAAGTTAAAACACCCGTGGCTTTGGACGTGTATACATGACCGAATAGATAACTAGGGAATAGATAAACGATGATTTTAAAAAAATATTTTGCTTTTGCCGGGCAGTGGTGGCGCATGCCATTAATCCCAGAACTCGGGAGGCAGAGGCAGGCGGATCTCTGTGAGTTCAAGGTCAGCCTGGTCTACAAGAGCTAGTTCCAGGACAGCCTCCAAAGTCGCAGAGAAACCCTGTCTCGAAAACAAAACAAAACACCACAAGTCTTCATTTCAAAGCCTCTGGAACCACCCACTTCTCACTCTCCCCTCAACCTGCTGCTCTGCTTGAAGCTAGGACCCAGCTTCTGGAGCTCCTCCCCCAGTGGCTTCACACCACCAATCTTTGCTGGGTTTATCACAGAGCTGATCACCAGTTGCATCTGCCCGATGCCACCAGAGATCAGGGACTGTGGCTTTCACTTCTTGATTCCCGGCAGCGACTATCCCTGTAGAAGACACTCAACAAAATCTGTAAGTAAAGGAAAGGCTGACTTCTAGAACGAAGATGGGTCTAGTGGCAGAAACCTTCCAACTCTAGCCGCAGAGCATCTGATCTCTTTTCAACAGCGCCACAACTTCCGGGCCCCAGGGTTCCCCAGGGACTATCTGGTAATCCTGTTAGGTTGGCTTAGCTAGAATTTCCTCTCATCACTAGCATTCCCTTTTAGTTAGTTTTCATGGCTTGGCCTCACCCTGCTCTCTGGCTCTACATTCTTCTAGGGAGTTAGGTTAGGACAGTTAGGCTGACACACCCACCAAGGAGGTTGGTCAGAGGACCACTGGCCAGTCCATGCGCAGAAACCTGTGCAGACACAAACTGCCCATGTGCTCTCTGTAATTTTGTGACTGCAGATGAGCAGAGATATTGCAGAAACAGCTTACAAGAAAGCGCTCGTTTTTCATAAAGTCCACACATACCAACACCAAGGCCAGCCAGGGTGGCCGCGCCCAAGCAGGACATGTCGAAGTGGGCTGGTCTGTCTATTCTCTCGTTAATCAAGTCTGAAGTCATCTGCATGACGAAAGCGTTGTTACACACTCCTCCGTCTGCCCTGTGGGAAACAAGATCCCTGAGGCTAGTTACTGTGAGAACATCAACTGTTTTCATGTGGGTTACTACAGTTCATGAAGTTAACTTTTGGGAAGAGGAGAGTGTTGGCAGTCAGGTACTCGGGAGGCAGGTACCACTGAGCTGTGTCCCCAACTTATCTATGCTTTTATTGCTTTTTAGTAGGAGAGATTTTGTTTGTTTGGTTTTTCAAGACAAGGTTTCTCTGTGCAGTCCTGGCTGTCTTTTAGACCAGGCTGGCCTCAAACTCACAGAGATCCCCCTGCTTCTGCCTCCCGAGAGCTGAGATTAAAGGCATTCGCCACCACCACCTGGTAAATACTATTCTTTATTTAGGTCTCAGGTCTCATTTGTTTTGGTGCTAGTTCAAAATTATGGCGAGTAAAATAAACTAAGCCAACAGAAGAATTCCTTTGGACATTAAAGAAGGTAAGACAATCTGATGTTTCCATACAAAAGAATAGCAATAACACAATAATGAAACGCTAATGATTTCTACATAATATATATGCTTGACAGGATCCCCAGAATTTCTAAGTGCTATAGTCTCAATAATCTAAAACAAGCATTTTCCTCTTGCTATGACCAATAATTTTATTGCTGAAGAACTAGTCATAAGCTTTAGAAGTCAAGAAAAAATTAAAATAAATACAGCTACTTTTTTTTTATTTCTAGTTTGTTTTGTGGTGCTGTGGCTCAAACCCAGGGAAATGTTCAAACACTGAGCTAATGCACCAGGCTGATTTTGTAGCTCCTAACTGGACCTGTTATAAACAAAGCTTACATACCGGATATTCGTGACTGGGATCTGGATTTCCCTCTGCATCATATCATATAACTGTTTGTTCCTAGTCAAAGACAAGATAACTATTGAGAGCATATTCATGTCATAATTCTGTATTTCACACTGATGTTTCAAACAAATAAGAACTATGGTGGTTTTATTTACTTGACTTGATAAAAGATTATTTTACAAGTAGGCTTAATTTATTGGCAATCTATAAAGAAGCATTCAAGCAATTATCTATTTATTTGGTAGCCCTTACTATGATATATTTAAACAACATGTAAAAGTACCAAATATATCATTTTGTATTCATAAAAATTACTTTCAATGACAGGCTGGACTGACAGCCTCCAAAACAATACAGAGCGTAAAAACCAAAAAAAAAAAAAATTACTTTCAATGAAAGAAACACTCCTGCCGGGCGGTGGTGGCGCTTGTCTTTAATCCCAGCACTCGGGAGGCAGAGGCAGGCAGATCTCTGTAAGTTTGAGGCCAGGCGGGACTGACAGCCTCCAAAACAATACAGAGAAACCCTGTCTCATAAAACCAAAAAAAAAAAAAAGAAAGAAACACTCCTTACTTATGAGAATTCAATTATTTTTTGAAGATTTACTTTCTAGGTGTGTGGGGATTCTGCCTGTAGGTGTGTGTGTGCACAGTGTGAGCAGAAGTGTCTGTGAGAGTGACGAGGACCCCAGAGGCCCTGGAGCTGGAGTTGGAGATGGCTGTCCGCAGCGTTCAGGTGCTGAGACCCTGGATCGTGTGCAAGAGCAACCAGTGCTCCCAACCACTGAGAGATCCTCCCAGGTCCCAATCATTATTATATGTATTTTTATAAAGCAGAGTCTCACCGAGCCAGTATTGCCTTGAACTCCTTCCCTATATAGCCAAGGCTGTCCCATGTCTCCTGATCCTATTGCTTTTACATCCTAAGGTTTCAGGATTATAGCCATGTGACCTCACTTTTTTTTTTCTAAAACAGGATTTCATTATGCAGCCCTGGCTGGCCTGGAACTCACTCTGTAGACCAGACTGGCTTTAAACTCACAGAGATCCACCTGCCTCTGCCTCCCAAGTACTAGTGACTTTTCTCATTGCAATGATAAAATAAGGGACAGAAAGAAACTTAGGAAGGGAAGAGTTAATGTGTGGTCACAGTTTGAGGGCACAACCAATGATGACAAGAAGTCTGGGGCACATCCAGAGCCAGGAAGCAGAGAAAAATGCCTACCGGGCTTGGTTCACAGAGCAGGGCCCCTGCCTCACCTAGCCTACTCTAAAACGCTCTTGTACACAAGCCCAGAGATTTGTCCCCTATGCGATTCTGAATCGTGTCAAGCTGACCACTGGTATTAACCGTACACTGTATTTGTCCAATAATCAAAAGACCAGTAAAGAATGATTCTTACTACCCAGTCTTTGGGTGTAACAGATTGTTGTTGGTTTGAATTCTCCCTTGTGAGAATTACAGAGATAAGATTCCCATAGGCAAAGTACAAGCTCTATTACTGAGCTGTATTCCCAGCCTGGGCTATCTTAAAGAATTATTGCATTTTAGGTATCAAATCTAAGTGGCACTGGTACCATTAAATGTAGCCACAGGAACAGATTATGTCATGTGTACCATGTTCTGAATTGAGGGGCTGGAGAGATGGCTCAGTGGTTAGGAGCACTTGGTGATCTTCCAGGAGAGCTGTGTTCAATTCCCAGGACCAAAAAGAAGGCTCACAACAGTCTGGAAGTCTTTTTCCAGGGGATCTGACACCTTCTTCTAGCTTCTGTAGGTACCAGGAACGAATATGATGGACAGACACAGATACAGGCAGGGCATCCAAACATATAACATAACATTCAGAGTTTTAGAAAATAAAGTAAAAATTTACAATCACATACACTACATTGAATGTGTAAGTTTAGTGACGTAATTAAAAACAGAGAGCTAGAAGGTGGCGTAGCAGAAAGGGCGCTTGCCATCAAGCCTGGAGACCTTCCTTAGATCCCGAGAAGGCATGTAGGGGTGGGAGGAGAGTCCCGACTCCACAGAGATGTCTTTCGGGCGCCACAAGGTGCACACACATATCTACCCAAACACAATTACAAGTAGTAAGTCATAAAATAAACACTCTTACATAAATGAAATTAAGAAAAGCTTCGGGCCGGGAGGTGGTGGCACACGACTTTAATCCCAGCTCTCGGGAGGCAGAGGCAGGTGGATCTCTGTGAGTTTGAGACAAGCCTGGTCTGCAAGAGTGAGTTCCAGGACAACCTCCAAAGCCAGAGAAACCCTGTCTTGAAAAACAAACAAACAAACAAACAAACAAGCAAAAAAAAAAAAAAGAAAAGAAAAGCTTCTCTTTCACTTTATAAAATTAAGCTGATCACACCTGTAATTTCAGTACTAGGGAGACCAAACAAGTGGTTCCCCATGATTTTGAAGGCAGCCTGGCCTACAAGATGAGTTCCAGGCTAGTCTGAGCAGTGTAAAACCCTATCCCCCTTCCCCCAAAAAATTTAAAACAACCCTTCAAGAGCTGGAGGGATGGCTCAGTGTTTAAGAGCACTGACTGCTCTTGCAGAGGACCTGGGTTCAGTTCCCAGCACCCACATGGCAGCTCACATCTATCAGTAACTCCAATTCCAAGGGATCCAACACATCTTCTGGTCTCTGAGGGCTTCTGCATGAATGCAGCACATATCATACATATATTCAAGCACTCATGCATACACACAAAATTAAAAAATACATATATTTTAAAAGAATCCTTTCACCAGAAAAGAAAATTTCAGTTTGGTAGCAAATATAAAGGAAATGACAAAGTACGAAGGCAGCAGAGGGAGTTTCAGCAGGTTTTACCTGAAGGCTATTGACTCTAGTATTGCTCGGACGAGATGGTATTTACTGGTGGAATGCTTCAAACCCATAAAAGAGGCACATGCACAGGGGTCATTTAATGGGGCCTAAAGTAAGAGATAAAAAGGATACCATTTATATTCTAAATTACATCTACAGGCTTTATATGGATCATAAACACAGCTATGCTAAAAGAATGCTCATTTAAATAATTTAAAATAAATTACAATCCAAAGAGCTGATTAAACAAGATAACCATTCATTCATGCATGCATGCATGCATGGACAGGGTCTCACCATGTAGCCCGAACTGGCCTGGAACTCATTATGTAGACCATGCTGTCCTCAAGCTCACAGAAATCCACCTGCTTTCCCCCTCCCCAGCGCCCAGTGGCCATTGTCTTTCAATAGGGTTCTCATATAGGCCGATCTGGTCTTGAATTCACTCTGTAGGCAAAGCCATCCTTGAACCCCTGATCCTGCTTCCACCTCACAAGCTCTGAGATTACAGGCTGGAGCCACCACCTTGAGGTTTCCAGATTTTTTTTTTTAATTTTTATGTATAGCCCATCTTCTTGTGGGTATATGCCACATGTGTGCAGGAACCTGTAAATGCCACAAGGGAGCACTAGATCCCCTGGAGCTGGAGTTACAGGCTGTTGTTTACTGGGAAGCAGGAAGAGCAGCAAGCTGAACCCCCACCCTCACCCCTTTTACAGTGTATAGCCTGTTACTATTTTAGAGGTGTGTGAGGTAAGGAGAAATTATAGAGATGTTGTCAAAACATAGTCACTATAACATCCCGAGCATGGTTTTCTCGAATCCTCCAAGCATGCACCCCCCCCCTTCTGTGCAATACTGGAGATTAAGTCAGGACTTAATGCATCCTAGACAAGTGCTTTATTAACAGAGCTACATTCTACTTCCCCAACCATGAAAAAATTATTTACAGGAGCTTGGGTTTTCTTTTTAAGGAATATTTTTTGTTTGTTTTTGGTGTTTGTTTAGAGACAGGTTTTCTCTGTGTAACATCTCTGGCTGTCCTAGAATCCCATTTTTGTTTTGTTTTTGAAACAGAGTTTTTTTTTTTTTTTTTTTTTTTATAGCCCAGGCTTTCCTAGAACTTGCTCTGCAGACCAAGCTGGCCCCAAACTCACAGAGATCTATCTGCCTCTGCCTCTTGAGTGCTGGGACTAAAGGTGTGCGCTGTCACTGCCAGGTTAATTTTGCTAATTCTACACCTGAAAACTTTTCTGAAGTCTCTGTGACATCCTTCTAAGTCAGAGGCACCCACAACTCTGTTAATTAAATATAAAGTTAAGTATTTCAAAGTCATGCCTTTTACTGGGTTTACTTTTGATCAGGTCAAGTAATCCATAGTCTACCATAAAAGTTGAAAATAAAGTTTGATCTTTGGAAAAAAGCTAATGAAACCTATAGATATACTTCAGAATACATGCATTGACATGTATGTGTGCCATGATGTCATTTTTTTTCTCTTTCTTTGTTTTGTTTTTGTTTAGGGCCTCTCTATGTAATCCTAGCTAGCCTTGAGTTTACATAGATCTTCCTGCCTCTGTCTCCAAAGTGCTGGTGCTGGGATTAAAGTCATGCACCACTAGGGCCAGTGATAGCATTTTCTAATGCTCAACAGTATACTTTCTCTAAGTAAAGAATACCTATTTGCTAATACACACTGCCCAACAACCCAGAAGTGCCTATTTATAACTCAACCCTATGCCATATTAAAAGTTCTATAACAAACCTGCTGTTAACTTTTAGGCCCCATTTCAATAGAACTGAAAGTTGACAGCAGCTGAATTCTGTAGTGCAGCCAAACTATCAGGGTCTCATGTAAAGAACACACTGCTCCCCTACAGAATTTGTGCTAACTTGGCAGTTTCCCTGTCCTAGAATGTATCTTTCATGTCAGCCCTAACTGTTCATTCAGGTAACACAGGCACAGCCGTGTAATTCAGGGTATCGCCGGAGGAGAAACTGTTTGCCAATGCTCTAACTTTGTAAGAGAATACCTGTAATCCATTAAACGATGGAACAAAATAAACCCCTTCAGAATCTTCCAGACTCAGGGCCATTTTTTCAGTCTCTGCAGCATCTGTGAAAAGATCTGCAAAAGCAAACAACAAAACCGTAAAACAAAAGGAAGCAGTTAGGGAGGGACAAACAGAAGCACATTACACAACCACAAATTAGGACTAGAATGTAAAAGCTCTTCATTTAAAAGGGTCAATACAGGAGGCATTTTGTGTCTTTTCACTGTGCAAAGGTTTACAGCAAGGGACAAGGGAGACTCCCCCCAAAGGTCCTTCTAGATAAGTTCTCTATGTAGCAGGCCCTATTTTTTTCATTAAAGGTATTTGGGTAAGTTGAAGAATCCAATATATACATATGTTTGTTTGCTGTTGTTAGTATTCAGGCACCTGTCTGTACTGGCCTGTCTTTGGGGTTCTGACAGGATACACCCTCAGCTGCAGCCACTAAGAGCAACACCTGTGCATATTCATTATGTTCCCTTCTAAAAGGGCCAGGCCCACCTCCAACCTTCTTTTTCTTTCTCTCCCTCTCTGTCTGTCTGTCCTCCCCCCCTCTTTCTCTCTCTCTCCCTTCCCCCTCCCTCCCTCTTTCCTTCCTCCTCTTTCCTGCTGCTCCTGTCTCTGGAGGCTGGTCTTCACCCTTCACTTCCTTTTCCCCCTTTTATGATCCCTTTCCATAATAAGAAATCCCTCTGCTTGAACCCTGTAGCATGGTGTCTTTCTCTGGGTGCTGCTTTTCTTACATTATAGCAGTTGTTGTTGCTGTTGTCATTATACATTATTCCCAACTGGATATAGTGATGTACACCTGTAATCTCAGTACTTGGAAAGCTGAGGCAGGAGAACCACCATATAGGTTCAAGGCTAGCCTGGGCTATACCGTAAAATCCTGTTTCAAAAGCAACAAAAAAAAATTCTCCTTTGGCTGGCAGTATAGCTCAATGGTACACTGAGTGGGTACCTTAGTGTGTTTCATACTCAGGAGGCTATGGGTTTAATTCTCAGACACACACACAAACCCACCACAAAATAAATAAACAAAACCCAACAACAAAAAATAATCAGAGATAAGACTACCCCAGTTTGTTTGTTTGTTTTTTGACACTGGAATCCTCTACCTATAGAAACTTTACTTGATCTGATGGGATCCACTTGATCAAGTGAAAAAAGCCTTCCCCTTCCCATTTAATGAGTTCAATAAGGGATCAGTAATAGATTAAAGGTCACTCCTTTAGAAAACAAGCAAATAAAAGGTATCCAACCTTAATTCATTCATTAAAGTTTTAACTGAAATGTATGACATATTGGGAAAATGTTGGGGAAGTCCTGTTATTTGTCAATAAAGCACTGCTGGCCAATAGGAATCTAGATAGGTGGGACTAGGAGTCCAGGAGAACTCTGGGAAGTAGAAACACAGGAGAGTCGAGATGTAACGCCATGGGGTAGGAAGCCCGGAAACTTATCCGGTAAGAGACATACTTAGATTAACAATTATGGGGTAATTACTTAAGTCAGAGCTAGCCAGTAAGAAACAAGCAAGGCCAACAAATTCATAATTAATATAGCCTCCTGTGTGTTTATTTGGGACTGATGCAGCTCTAGAACCAGGCTGGCAGGAAAGCTTCCTCTCAAGGAAAAAGGCTTCTCTTTACAGGAAAATATTCAAATCCAGGAGATTGAGGCAGGAGGATTGGGAATTCAGGGCATTTTCAGCTATATATCAAATTCAAAGCCAGACAGGGCTACAAGAGACCCTACCAAACAAACAAACAAACAAAGTAACCCCAAAAAAGCCAAAGCCAAACAAACAAACATAAAACCCCATTGAGGAAAAAGGGGAGAAAAGGAAAATGTGTAAATACAAGACACACAGCCTTAATGCCAACAGAGGCACTCCAGTTTCTGGGTTCAAGGCCAGCATGGTCTACAGAGTGACTTCCAGGACAGTCAGGCTACACAGAGAAATGCTGAAAAAAAAAAGTACAAGCTTGATAGAATTCTTTTGTCTAGTGCTGTGGACAAAAGACCCAGGGTCTTGTGCATGGTGAGTTGCTGTAGGATAAAACTTCTGTATACTGTGAAGATGTGTTGCTCTCATTGCTAATAAAAAGATGATTGGCTGATGGCTAGGCAGGGTTTTCCGGGCAGAGAGGATGCTGGGGAGAAGAAGGCGGAGTCAGGAGGAGATGCCATGAGACACAGAGCGAGCATACATGGGGTAAACAGGCCTCAGGGCAGCACATAGATTAATAATAGAAATTGGTTAATTTAACTTATAAGTGTTAGCTAAAAACAAGCCTAAGCTATTGGCCTATCATTTATAGTTAATATCAAGTCTCTGTGTGGTTATTTGGGGAGCATCTGGAGGCACAGAAAAGGGGCCTACAGTAAACCAGCACTGACTCACTGAGCTACATCCCAGCCTCCACGAGAGTTTGCCCAGTATAAACACACCTGAGGAAGCCACGCCCAGATGGAGACAAATCTGTCTTGTTTAACACCGCGCCTGTGAGAGGCACACATCTCATCACAGGTGTTTGGAATCCACTTAGCCCCACACCACACAGGATTTCATTGTGAGATTACATAACTCATAAGCCTATCCTACAAGACTATGGAGAGTTTTCTGGTGTTTGGCCATGCTGAACAGTTGTGTGCATTCTTTTCAGCGGAAGTGGCTAATATTTTTCTGTTTACTAATACCAATGGATGGAATGGGTAGTTCAAGGGGCCTCATATTTACAGTTAGCTTTGGCAACACTGCTGAATAGCTATTTAAAGTGGTTGGCTCAAGACTTCCATTGATTGCCCAGTAATTATCATCGACGTTCTTCATTTTAGCTACTTTGGTGGTCTCACTTCCCTATTTACGATGTTAAAGATTTTTTCATTGGACCACAATCAGGATATATTATGTAAGGGAAAAACCCTCAAAAAACCTTTTTCAATAAAAGTGGGGGGAAATGTCAGGACAAGAGCACACAGAGAGGCTTCCCCTTTCCTTTTCCTCTCTGGCCCCTCTTGCCACGCGGATAGAAGTAGTTACAGAATGTGTCCAGCAGAGGGAGACGAAAACACGCTGCTTAGCCAGAACACCAGGGTGCAGCAGGCCAAACTGTTAGGGAGATCCCAGAAAGAAAGGCATTCAAAACAATTACAATCTTGCAAAGATCTTTCTCAAAGGCTTGACTTCCCCCTCCACCCATAGCTGGCCATGGGAAGAAGATGTGACCACGGATAACAGACCAAAATAATTGCGAACAAACCTCTGGGCAGAGCGCTGCCAAGGTTGGCCGTCAGGTGGTATAAAGGAGAGATAGACCCAAACAGCAGAGCAAGTGCCTTGGAAACGGAAAGGACATTGGAAGCAGCTCCAAATGTCCCGCCTACAGGAACAGCTTAGGGACCTGCACGGATGGCTCGTGGATGTTGCTCTTGCAGGGGACCTGGGTGTCCAGTTAGAACCTCCAGTTCACTCCTGCTTGATCCGGAAAGTCCCATTCCACTCTCTCCAAACCCCACCCTTTCAGAGAGTCCCCAAGAAAGAAAAGGGGCCAAAAAGCCCAGTTCTGCCTTCCCGGCAGCTGTAGCAGCTCCTCCCCTGAAGTTGCCAGCAGCCCAAGACTCCACCTAAAGCAGTCAGCTTTTGTCCACAGTTGGGCACGAGCCCACCTTGTGGGGGGCATGTGATCACCCCTCACCTACAGGGTGTATAAGCTCCTGCTTTAGTTCACCGAGTTAACTTCTCCAGCTCCAATCTCTGAGGCTGGAGGACTCATCTGGGAGTTGCTTTGCTCAAATAAACCTGTTCTTTTGCTTTTTCAATTCGGCTTGATCTGGCTTACTGCGTCGTCGGATAGGAGAATCCTATTATCCAGTTACAGAAAGCCTATTGTTGGGTTCAGTTCCCAGTTAACATGGTTCGCACTCATCCATAATTCCAGTTCTAGGAGATCTGACAGTCTCTTCTGACCTCCATGGGAACCAAGCAAAAACATTCATGAGCAGAAAATAAATAAAATAAATAAAGCACTAATTTGAAAAGAAAAACTTTTCAAAGTAACAAAATTCCCCATAGGATTTAAACAAGAGTCTCATAAATATTGTAACATCAGAAACACCTTAAAATTAATTAATTTTCTCTCTTGCAAGGGACTAGACAATAAACCCAAGATGCCATAGACATTGAGATTATAAGAGAAAAACTTCTTACAGACACCATCTGAGCAGTACACTTGAAGCAAAAGACAGGAAGTGCAGCGAGAAACCAGAAGAGAGATGGTTAAAAAATAGATGGCTCAGTGGTTATGAGCACTGGCTGCTTTTATAGGGGACTAGGATTTGATTCCCGGCACCGACATGGCAGCTCAACTGTCTGTAACTCCAGCTTCAGGGGATCTGATGTCTTCTTCTGGCCTCTGAGGGCCCAAGCGCATATATGGTACAAGCATACATATAAAACCAAGATAAATGGTTACAAAAATATTCTTTTCCTCAATTAAAAAATAGAAGGTATGAAGACCAGCCAAATGAAGATTTCAGAAATGAAAACGTAAATAAAAATATGGATTCACTGGATGGGCTCAAAAGATGGAGATGACAGAGGGAAAATTGGTAAGATTGGAGGCAGGTTGACAGATTATCCTGGGTAAGGGAGGTAAAGACGGAAGAAACAAATAGGAGAAACATAGCCTCTGTGAATATGGAAAAAGAAGACAGTGAAGATTTTTCTCATTTGAGTCACGGGAGGAAGCTAAATATCAGAAGAACAAAATTACTATAAACTTCACTAGTGAAAGAAGAAAAAAAACATATACATTCAGGAGTTCCTGGAATCATGCACAAGGCCCTGGGTTGGACCCCGGCACCCCAAATCAAAAGCTATTGCCCAGCAAGGTACATGCCCACACTGCAAATACTGAAAGAAGTCTGAGGTTTACCATGAAGAAGTGCTGAGTGTTTGAGGAAACAGATGTTTCGTTTCCCTGGTTCAAACATCACAGGGTTCAACACATGAAGCCAAAAGGTAGCAGAGCAATGCGTCTGTCTGTCTTTCTTTCTTTCTGTCTATCTA